TGCCGCCTCCCCACCGCGGCACCGCCCCGGCGCCGGGCCCCGTCCCGCCCCCGCCCGCCCCGGAAAGAGGCAGCACTCGCGTATTTACAAAACAGTTTATTAAAAATAGGAAATGATAGAAATGAGATGCAGGAGCGGCGCTCGGCGCATCCCCGCACCCCGGGACGGGATGGAGCCGCGGGGGCGGGTCCCAGCGCTCCGCCGGGAGCCGGGCGGCCCCGCAGCCCCCGGGGCACCGGGAGCGGGGCGGAGGCTCCGGGGGACAGCCCGGTGTCCGCACAAGCTGCAGCCCAGCGACGGGCCGGCGGCTGTGCAAAACCAGTAAACAAAGTGCGGCGGGGAAGGGGGTGGGGGCCCAGGCCCCCCCGGCTCGGAAGCAGGGAAGGAGGGGGGTAGAGGCGCCAGAGGCAGCGGCAAAGTGGGGTGCAGAGAGGGGCAGGGCTTCAGGGCTCGCCCCTGCTTACCTTTAAATTAAAAAAAAAAAAAAAAGAAAAAAAAGAAAAACGAATACCAAAAATTCTGTGCTGTGCAAAAGACACTTTGTACAATTCAAACAGAACAAACTCCATGCACATGAACGGGGCTGAAGAACACCCCCAGCCAGGACCCGGCTCCCCGGCACCGCCTGGCAAAATCCCAACAGAAACAGGGCTGGAAATAATACTGATGCGCAAAGTCCCCTTTAATAGGCGGGCAGGGAGGATTGTCGCAGCCCAGCCACGGCACATGCGGGACGAGCTTCCAAGCGCTGCAGCCGGGGTCTCGCTGATGCCCTACAGCGATGGACAGACACACAAGGGGTCACAGGCCACGAAGCTGCGCTGGCCGCCCGGGAGCCGGGGGGGGCTAAGATGACACAGTCACTGCTGTCAGGGCTCCGTTCCGGGTGTAATAGAACTTGCTGAACGCCTCTTCAAGTAAACAGGTAAGTCTGCTCTGGTCAGCCTGGGAAGAACAAGCTGCAGTGAGGGGCAGGCCCTGCCCCTGCAAAGCAGAGCTGGGCTGAAGCCTGCCAGGGCATAGGGACACTCTTACTTCTCCTGCCTTCCCAGCTAGAGGAGTGATCAGGCAGAAACCACTTAAGTTTGAGAAAGGAACGCAGATCTATATCCCTACCTGAGCCCCAGGACTCTTACCTCGCTGATGAAGCCAAGCTGGACCAGTTCAGCTGCCAGCTCCTGGATGTTGTCATCTGTAACACAAGGAGGGGTGTGGGTTCCAGGTCTGAGCGCGCTGCCAGCCCCAGCGCACCCCAGTGTGGGAGGAAAGGTACTTACTGGGCTGCAGGTCACAGCTCAAGTGTCGATTCAACTTGTCTTCCAGTTTCAGCAGCAGCGTTAACTGCAGGGCAGAGAAGTTCTTGTGAGGGACTGCACGGTGGCCAGAGACAGGAGCATCCCCAGAGACCCCCCTCAGGGTAGGAACCATCCCCCTCCGGAGCCCCACAGAACAACCACAGCCAGCAGCACCGTCCAGCAGGTGAAGCCTGAACCCGGGAGCGGGCTGGAAACATTTCCTGCGGGCCAGGTGGGACAGGGGCACAGGGCTGGGCTGGCTTTGGGCCCCAGAGATGGCAGCAGAGGGTGGCAGCAGGTACCAGCCGCATGTCGGCCACTGGAGCCACGTGCTCTCACCACTGCCCTCGTGCACCCCGGCACATGCTCAGCCAGAGGATGGGAACGTACATGGTGTTTCACCCCCTCCTCCACGGACTCGATGTTGCACTGCATCAGCACCACCTGAAAGAGGAGCAGAGACGCCCCGTGAGTGGCTGCAGAGCTTGGCTGGGGAGGAGGGACGGAGTCCCCATCGCTCACCTTGCGGGTCTCCACCTCAGCAGGCTCCGGAGTCGGGGTCTTCACTGACGGAGGAGCAATGGGGGATTTCACCACCACCTGCTGGGGCTGCTGGGGCCGTGGCATCCCGAAGGCTGTCAGTGGGTAGATACCGTTCCTACAAGGAAGGAGCAGCAACTGAGGTTATGTCTCTCTGAAATTTTTCCAGTCTCACACACACACTTAAAGTTGCCCTTAAAAAAAAACAAAAACAAACCTCTTACCATACATCCTCCAGGAACTTGTCCAGCTCCAACGCTGGAGATTGTGAGAAGCTGGGGGAAAAAAAAGAAAGAAAGAAAAAAAAAAAAAAAAAGTACTGAGGTGAGAATTCATCTAACAGAACCATGCACTTAAGTCTCTTGGGTGCAGTTTCAAATGCCCATGTCCTAAGCAGCCATGCCAGTGGGCAGGAGGGGTACAGACAGCCACGGTTCAGAAAAGCTAAGGATGAGGCAACTCGAAGGGCAGAGCCCCAGGCAGATCCCTCTGTGCCCACCCCAGTGCCCCAGCCCCCGCTCCATGTGCGGCCCCTCTGAGCACACCAGGGGAACTCACATCATCTTCACTCCTTCCCTGTCCGCATGGTTAATCTCTGCCAACACTGCACTCATGTCAAGGTTCTTGGTCATCTCTTCTAAAGCATTTTCAGGAATCATATCTATTAAAAAAAAAAAGTTAAAACAACTGCAATTCCTTTCCAGCCTAAGGAAAGCAATAAAACCCCCAGAGGCTGCTCATTTCCTGTGCTGCCCCGAGCAGGCAGGCCACTGCAGATGAAGGTCTTGGTTTCCAGGGTGCCAGTGGCACTGACAACTTTGGGGAGCTTTGCAGAAGGCGAGGTGTGGCACCTGGGGGCCCATACTCACGCTGGTGCCCAACGATACAGTGTGCAGCGAGCAGCTTGAGTGATGGCACCTCAAACAACGCCTGGTGGAAGAGGAGCTCCCGGGCAGTAGGACGCTTGCCAGGGTCCTGTTCTAGACACTTCTGAATGAACTCCTGGGAGACAAAAATGGTATGAGACCACATGCAATGCCAACGTGTCTGCAGGGTGCTGACCCCTCCTTGCTCACCCTCTGCAGGGGGTCCTCCAGCAGCTGGATGGCACTGTTGATGGCCTCCTGGGGCACGTAAGAGGACTCGCCGTTACCCTGTATTTCCAGCACCGCCATCTGCAAACACAAAGCAGCGCATCAGACCCCACTGAGAATCACTGACCGCACTGAGCAGAGCTGGAAGAGACCACTGCCGAGCGCAGGATCGCAACAGCCGAGTTGTTTGGTGTTATTTAAGGTCACAGTTTGCGAGGCAGAGAGAGAATGAGTGCCTCATTACAATAGCTCATTTCCAGCGCCCTAACAGATTGCCAGGGAAATCTGAAAACTACGCCAGTTCACCTCAGACAGTATCTCCATTCAGAACCTCATGATCCAATGGCCTGTACTTCTGTTTGATAACTCCCATCCTCTAATGAAGCAGTAACTGGATCACTGCCCGAATCTGACAGCGTCCCCCTAGCTGCATGAATAGCCCTGTACTGTGGGCAGAACAACATGCACACAACGCCACCCAGAACTGGCCCCAGCCAACACAAATTCCCAGCTAGGAAAGGCTGGCAAGAAGATTCCAGAGAACATCTTAAGACTTGATTCAAGTTTTGCTTCCTAAAAGTTGTGTGTTTCTTCCTGCTTCACTTATGGGACATGCAGCAGAAGTTCAGAATTCTTTGTGTTGTCTCATTCTGGCAATTCTTCCCAGAAAATACTCCTGCCAACAACACCCGTTTCCTAGACTTGAGCCTGCTGATTGCAAGGACAGAGGAACCACTGAGCTGCTGAGGTCAGGCACATCACACGCATGCCTGACTGCGACCAGCACCTGTGTCAGCTGGGGACAGGCTGGCCTGGAAAGGTATGGACAACTGTCCCCTCCTCCAGACACCCCAAGAGGAACAGATCCTCCCGAGAAGGGGGGTTCTGTTCTCCAGGAACATGAAGCACAGTTGGTAGCAGTGACTGTTCCCACCAGCCGGTGGGTCAGACCTCAGAACTGGCCAAGACCTGCAGAGTAATGAATTACACATTACTGAATTTCAGAAAGAACTACACATTACTGAGTGTTTACTTCTCAGTAAGGCACCTGGGGAAGCCTTGACAGGGATCCCTCCAAGGCAAAGTGCATTTGGCTCAAGGGTCTGTTCCCCAGCTAACCCACCCCTAACCACAGCATCTCCACAGAGCCATCTTGTTCCTTCAGGTTCATCCCCTGCTCCCCAGCCAATGCGCTCTGCACTCACCTCCAGTGCACACATCCCAAAGGAGTAGATGTCCACAGCAGTGGTGACATTGGCAACTTCTGTAAGACAGAAATAACGCTGTTATCAATCCCTGTCTGCATTCAGCGGGACCAGCAGGACCACCTCTCCATCAGGCTACGATAATCCTGTAGCCTTCTCCCCCTCCCCTGCTATCAAAAGACAGAGGACTCGAAGCATTTAAGCAGATAAATAACTCAAAACTGTTAATGTGACATCTCTTGGGAACCTGTGGTTGAAAACAAGACACAGAGCAGCTTGGAAGCATTAGTAAGGCCAACAAATAGCCACACCATACCTCCATATTCTGGGGCAAAGAAGTGCAGGTTCTTCTGCTCCTCACGACAGGTCTTCACGTGGTTGTTAATTGTGTCCGGTGCCACTAGAAGAAAGTCATGAACACTTAGGATACAGGAAACTGTATCTTATCCCTGACTAAGTCCCAGGAAACACATGCAGCTCCCGGGCCTTCTGGTGCCCAAAGGGGCAGCAGGGTGGAGGTAAGTTGACCCTTCATCAGCCCCTCATCTCAGGTCACCTGCCCTGGTACACTTCTCTATCGTGTCCTTGGCTGCAGATGGACTAAGGCAGCTTAACATCACTCTCTAAGAGCAAACCTGGAGGCCACAGCTTCTCCTGAATGGGAAGACAAGCTGGGCAGGACTCCCTGTTGGAGTTTAAGCCCTGAAAGCACCCAACTTAACATCAGATCTATGGTGTTTGTCACAAGCAATTCAACTACAACAGAAGCCCTAGGAGCAGCCAGAGATGCCAAAATCACTGCAATCAGTCACTGCCTCAGGGCTCTAGGAGAGGGACAGAAGTACAAGGCAACTCTTCCACATATCAGCAGGGCACCACTGCTAACGTGCCTCAAGACAAAAGTCAAGCAAAGCTGCTGACTGGGGAGAGATGACCATCCTGAGAGCAGAGGCCTCCCGGCAGCCAGCACCTCCACAGCAACCAGGAACCACTCAGGGCTACAGGGAGGGAAGGGCTCCCAGGCACAGCAGAACACAAGTATGGGCCCCCCATGAAAGACAGGCTTTGAGGACAGCCAATTCTGGACAGACTGCAAACAACTCTCCCAAACCAAGCAGCGGGCTTCAGCAGGGAGACATTGTGAGGTAGGCAGGGACCACAGATGATTCCCATTCCATCTGAAGCTCCACTTCCATGCTTGAAAGCGCCCGGCCCCACAGTCTCAGGCCCACCTCCTAGACAATCGCAAGAGGTCCCAGTCTGTTCTGCTACAGCATGGACTTACATGGGATGTGACAAAGTGCCTGTATTTTTCCAGGTGTTCCTAGATTGGGGCAGGACACACCAAAGAGTATTCCCAGCTGAATGAGACTGAACTAGTTCCCAGCCTCAGAGGAGAGATGTTCTTTGGGCTCTAGTCAGACAAGGAAGATCTTCCTTGGTAACTCAGCTCAACCTTCATATGTGGCACCTACCAAATCATACTATTTTATTTGAGCATTGGACACTGAGCCTGCTCCAATGACCAGTGTCTACTTTCCCAACCAACCATTCACGAGTAGTTTACTGCTTTATGCTAGCTTTCACCCTGGGAGTCCAGTAAGATTACTTCATTCCCAGCGCTTACCTGTTCACAGACATCACTGGGTCCTCTCGCTAAACTCTTTGTCCTCCTCTGAAGACCTGCTCTGTGTTTTCCCAGTGACACTGACTGCTTTAGATGAGCTCTGGCCAGAGCGATGTGCAATCACACCAGTTCTCCCTACTGGAGGCTCTGCCCCAAGGGATCTTAACGTTGCATATGATGCATGTGGGTCACGTTCCTCCCTTAAATGGCTAGTGGCCACAAGATCCCCCTCAGTCCATGAATGATGAACTCTAGATTTCTGTGCAGCTTTGTATTTTACACTACTGAGCAAGTCACAACTGGAAATTCTCCAGTCCTCTAATGTCTGCCTGTGCTTCTGGAGGATAACCCCATCTGTCCCATTTCTATTAAGAGACTCAACGTTCACGAGATCAGTGCCTGAGGGACCCCGAACCCCTATGGGGACCCCTTTCTCAGCTTCCACCCCATCACCCTGCCTCCAGCCAGCAGCCACAGGGAGATTGCCCCAGGTCTGTCCAGCATGGCCAGTTCTCCTACTGGGTCTGCTGAAGAGGCTGTGAACCTGCTTTGGTCTGTGCCGGTGTCTGCCCTGAGCAGCACACTGTGTGTGTCCAGTCTGTTGGTGGCTCCTGAGAGAGGACAGGCTGCACTGGGTCCTTTCCCAGAGCAGGATTTCTTTGCCGTTCCTGCCCTTTCCCATCCCTTTCTGGAGATGTTCTAGCCAAGGAGGCAAGATCAGGTTTAGCAGTACCGGTCCCTCCCCACTAAGTAATTCCTTGTTTTCTACTCAAAAGAACAATCCGCCACTGTAAACCCAAACAGTTCAATACTGTCAAATGAGGTTTTGCCTTCTTAAAAAAAAACAAAACACCAAACGCCCCCCCCACCACCTGCCCCCTACTGCTGGAGACCTGCAGGAACTACAAATAATTCTGCCTAAATCTACAGTGCCCCACGGGTCGGGGCAAGGGGTGGAGACAGGGATGGCTACAGCCCACACCAACACAGTGAAGCTTTTGATCAGAAACAAGTTTTTCCTCAGAGTGACCAACAACATTACGATTTTGACGTTCCCCTGAGGCCTAGGCTGTAACAGTCATTGGATCTCACTGATCCCAAACGTTGATTGTCCCCTGCCTGCAAGAACTATTCCTTTGTCACAGTTTTTGCAGAACAGGCTTCAGAAACCCTTCTGCTCCAAAGTCTGAATTTAATTTCATTAATGGAATACCATCTGTCTTTGTGCAGCACACAGCATATGTGAACTATCAAACCCGTGGTGTGAACCCTGCCAAACCCAACATTTATCATCACACGCGTGGTGGTCTTTGACTATTGGAACTAACCAGACATCTGAGGGTACAAAATAAGACTTATTTTAGAATCACAGGATTGCCTGGGTTGGAAAGGACCTTTCAGATCATCAAGTCCAAGCATCAACCTAACACTGACAAAAACCATCACTAAATTGTATCTCCGAGCACCACGTCTACCCGTCTTTTAAATCCCTCCAGGGATGGTGACTCCACCACTGCCCTGGGAAGCCTCTGCCAAGGCTTGACAACCCTTTTGGCGAAGAAATTGTTCCTAATATCCATCCTAAACCTCCCCTAGTGACACTCGAGGCCATTTCCTCTTGTCCCATCGCCTGTTCCTTGGGAGGAGAGACTGACCCCTCCTGTCCTTTGCTCCCGTTTAAGAACAGGGAAGAGGCACTCATCAATCACAAAAAGGCATTATCAACAGAAACCGCAGCCAGTGATGCAAGTTAGGCACTTCCATACCAGAAAGGCGAGTACAAGGGAATCCTGGCCCAACCTCCACCTATAATGGCTGTCTGTGCCTCCTTAGGGACTTGGTAATCAGCTTCTCCGTGTCCAGGTCCTCAGACATTCTGCAGTGGCATGTGTTTCTGGAAAGAGCTGGGCTTGCTCTGTCTGCGGGAGCTTCCAACTCAGACACACAGAAAGGCAGTTTGGAATTTGCTGTTGTGGGTCATCCAGGGATCTGCCCGCTCTGGCATTCTGGTCCCTGTGCCTCCAAACTTGTGGAGTCCCACTGGAACTCCTCAGCGTCTTTCTGTCACTGTTGCAGAGACTGGCTACGTGGCTGGGTACGATTAGCCACACTTGGCCAGCCTTTTTACTGTTCTAGCAGTTTATATCACATCTCCTGTGCGACTTGGCTGGCAGTCACATGAAAACCTTGCTCTGTTATTGCAAAGCTGAAGCAGAGCAATGGATGGCATGAGACTCTGCCAGGTTCCTCCCCAGGTGCCTTCCAGCCGAGCAGAGACGGCCTGGCCAGACACAAATCTCTTCCATTCATCACTGCCACAGCAACGACCCGCTACTGAAGTCAGCTCTGGAAAACACTGCTAGCATGTTAAACCAGGCAGACAGAAGTGCTGCTATACCTTGTGAGGGCATTTTAGAGGCTGAGGCAAGAAAATTTGGGTTTGGTCTGGTCTAGTCACCATTGTAGGTCCATTAGCACAGGCAAAGGAGCTTCGCCTGAACACGCATTTTAAAACAGTTTACCATATGAGATGAGAACACACACTTTAAGGCACCTCTGACACAAGCTCTTCTGACCAATGCCCACACGGTTGCTACCCACCATCCACTACCACATTTAGTGATGACTCTTAGTTTTGTGAATGATCAGATGGATGAAGGCGAAGGACAGTTATGTTGAGCAAGACAAAAAATGGAGGTCAAAAAGGGAAGCCAGATCACCAACATTAACAAGTCTCTCTCAGCCACAGAGAAGATGTCTGCAAGGGGAAGACTACAGGACACAGCACCACATGACTGACCAGCGTGGTAGGGAATTAGCAAAGCAAAGATGAACTTTGGAAAAGGATTCAGCCAAATATGGTGTCCGAGCAGAGCAGGCAATAGGAAGAGATGTGATGTGCAGTAGAAGGTAGGACAAGCAACTTGCCTTCAGCAAGCTGGACTCAATCTGACAATGAAAGCATAAAGAGAAATAACCTGTGTTCCTATAGGAACACACAGAGCCCACTGGACTTCCCCAGCCCTCAAGGCTGTGCCAGAGCAGAGCTCTCACCAGAGGCTCACCCTCACCAGGGTCAGCAGCTCCTCAGAGCACCCAGAGTCAATAGGTGTGTTGGCCAAGAAGGCACTCGGTGGCTTTACTTCCCAGCTGTTGCCAGCAGCAGGTTTGAGCAGAGACACCCCATCACACAGCATTTTGCCCTTTTAAACACTACACGCTGCAGGAGAAATGTTCCTCTTGTCCAGTGTCCAGGTCACACCTACCTTTGTTCTGCATCAAGCGCTTCCTCCTCCAAGCAGGAGAGAGTCTGCCCAATGGCTCTCCCTTTTCTCCTGAAGCAGCCACCCAATCACTCCATCTTTCCACCATGCCTATGCTGCATGGTGCCAGCACCATGGGGACCCCCAAATGACCAGATGAGTGTGAGACTGTCTGTTCGCAGCTACCGAGGGACAGCCACAGGGGCCACGGTAGGTTTGAGGCCACATCATTATCCCTGCACTCATATGCTCAAGACATTTTCATTACTGCAAAAGGCTGTAAAACTGCACAAACCCAAGACATTTCACAGTTCATTTCATTCGCACACTAAGATGACAAATGCTTTTTTATTAGGAAGGGCAAAGCCTAGAAAATAAGCAACTAGGAAACTACTGGGAACAAGAAGAGGTATAGACCCATTAAACACTGAGTCAAACAGGAAAAGCAGTGGCAGATTTCAGCTGATCACAGAACACAAGCATCATCCTACAGCCCTGCAGATCTCCATC